ATATTTCAATGGTATTACTTCCGTTGGAAGGAATTCCAACGAAAATATTCCGTTGGAATGTATTTTTCATTGGATTTTTAGATGGAATTTGATGATTCCAACAGCTATATTTTCAACGGCTTTTGACCGTAGGAATTTCCGTTGGAAAATCTACCGTTGGAATCGTCAAAATCCAACGGAAATTCCAAAGAAAAACTCATTCCAACGGAATATTTTTGTAGGAATTTCCATTGGAAATAATAATATTAAAATATCCATTGGAATTTCCGTTGGAATTCTATTGGAATATATTTCTGTTGGAATTTCATCATTTTCTTGTAGTGATGTATTCTCAATATATGTATGTGCATGTGTGTGTGTTTACATGTAATTCGTCTGTACATGTACTTCATTTAAATTCCATGCACCATTAATTATATTTTCAATATATATGTGTGTTTTAGTTTACATTTATTAAAATATCAAGTCTTATTTTACTCGAGTACAAAAAAATAGCTTAGTAATCATATTTGGTCATGAGAAATTCTTACCATTGAATATATAGAGAGGAAATTAAACTATTTGAACTGTAAAATTTGGGATAATTTGCAAAGTAGTACCTTATCTCAGCACAAAGTTAAATTAAATTACTGAAATTATGAAAAGGAAAATTATATCATGCTATGTCATAATTAGGAGGTGCACCACATGCAATTAGTATATATACAACTTCAAGTACCATTTTCAATCATGTACATTTGCTTGCAAGTTATAAAATATTAAAAAAAGTGTGAATATTTGTAGGCTATTTTATGTTTTTTATATTTTCACTTTTTAGTGAAGGTAAAATATTTTTTAAATGTTTTGAAAGAGTATTATTTTGGCATGAGTTCAAAAAATCAATATATTGAAGATATGTTCCTACAAGCACAAGGAATCTATAAAAGGGAAGTTTATTTGTTTACTTATAAATGTATGAATTTTCTATTTATTTATTTATTTAGTTACATGATCTTATTATAGTATTGTTCTTGTAGGATTTCGGCTATAAAGAAGGGATACTCACGAGATAAGGAGAAATCAAGAGAAGATTGACTTGCTAAGTCATAAAAGGAAAGGAGATCTTAGGAGAGAGAAAGAAGAGTCCCAATACCTCTATGAGATTTTGGATAAACTTGGAAGGAAATCAAGAATTTTGGAAAAGACTCCACACGAAGGAGGTGTATAAATACCCACTTTGAAGATTGAAGTAGGGTTGCTGAGATTATCCATACACACGCCACATTCGAGCTTCAAGTCTTGTGCTTATATTTTTGTTTCTCGATTCAGTTCTTGATACTCTCGGAGATCAAAGAATTGAAGTCATTTTGATTGTATTTTCTTTATTCTGGACGTGGCCGAATAAGTAGTCGATAGGCTTGTTCATAGTGTGGTTAGGCTAGAAGGGAGTTCTAGTTGTTGTAAGTCCAAACTATGTTCGAAAGAGTTATCAATGAAAGAGCTCTGAGGGAAAGTGGGATACTTCCCTGAAGAGTTTTTGAATCTTCGGTTTATTGCTTAAGGTACATTAAATTTTTATTCTTGTTCTTACAAGTTGAGCGCACTCGCGATAAATATATACGTTTCATGTTTGGACATCAAAGTTAATTTTGATGAATAATGATTTCGAAAAAAAGAAAAAGAAAAAATAATAGGGCTTTGGGGACACGTGTAAATTGAGATAGTTGAGATTAGGTGGACATGGGGTCGATTTGAATGACTCCATGCCCTAGGGACAACTAGCAGATAAGGAGTTTTGCTACTGTCAATTGTCAATAATTGACCCTATTAACAATGGAAGTTCATTTTTTTTTTTTTTCAAAACTTTATTCTGTTTTTAATTAAAATTGACCCGAAATTCTTAGGGCAAAGCAAAGAAGTGTACTAACATGTTTGGATACAAATTTTTTTAAAAAAATCCAAATATTTTTAACTCAACTATTTTTTTTAACTCAACTTTAACTCAATCCCACTATCATCAATATTATCAATATAATTAAATAATATCAATCAATCATTATTACACACCACCTTACCTTAATTCACTATTCATCCATTCACATAATTTTAACTAACCATCACTTCAAATTTTCTCTCTCCTACTTTACATCAAATCAACTTTAATCATTTTATTTTAAATATTATTTAATATACTCACTAACAACTAACCATACCAACTTTTTCAAAATTAACCAAACCAAACAAAAAAATCCAAACAAAACCAAAATTTTTTATATCCAATCATCAATCCTCGAGGTTGTATAATGTATATTGTTTGTAGTCAAGCTAGTATTCAAACCCTAATTTTGTATTTGTTTGTGTTCTCATTCCTAACAAGATTATCATCTCCAAAACTTTTTTATTTTGGAAAAATGATAAAATTTTCAAAATTTGCACAAACATATATGTACATATCTCATTTTATTTTTTCGATTCACTCACTTTCAATTATAACTTACAGTAACATTGTAAAATTACCGTGCCCACTTTAAATGGTAGATATGAGGCCCAGTGCTAAGGCGAGGTATAACCGAAACTATAAAAAATATTTGATGAACTTAAATTTAATTTGGTGTAGAAACATCTCATAATTATCCACTATCGTAGTTTCAATCATCAATTATCATTATATTTCCATCTCACACATACACTAACAATTTTATTTATTTTTTCCCACTAAAATTTCCACACTATTCAATTTTCGTTAATTCTTATGTGGTCTAATGTTAAGGTACTCATACTACTTGAACACATAAACATATTTTAATATTAAAACATTATACTTTAAAATGCAATATAGATAAAAATATAATAATTTATAATATAAATATGATTTTTCGAAAGCAAAACATCATCTAAGTTTTCACTCCACTAATTCACTATTTCCCAATATAACTTTTTGTATTTTGAATGTTTTTGCGGGAGCTATTTTAGCAATTGTTTTGTGCAGTTAATTGATCTTTTAAAATTAATCTTATGAATATTTAACAGGGTGCTAAATGCTAATCGCACGTGACGGATGGTGAGGACGGTGTCAGCTACTCATGTGAAAAGCCAAAAGCAACGGTGATGAACGCCAAGTGGCGACCATCCGACGGCTCTTCATTTTTCTTTGATACTTGCTGCTGCCCAAATGTTTTAATATCTGCAACGTGCCGACACGTGCCTGCTACAGGTCACGTGCGTATATGACTCCACACGGTCTGCACGTGACCGGTCACGTGGGTTGGATGCTGTTGTTTGAAGTGTCGGATGTCATTTAAAAACGTTACTTGCTTTACACTTTCAAAATTAGACCTCAAATTAACGTTTTAGCTTGTATTAATAGTTGCCTCTGAGTCTACCGAGTAGAATTAAACAAGCTCAAAATCAACTTGTTTATCAATATTAACGAATCGATTTATAAAAAATTATATAAAATATTCATTTTTAAGCTTTAACAAACTATAATTGGATCGACTTGTTAACTCAATAAGTTTTGGAAGAGTTTAAGCTCTACTCAATCATCAAACGAGTTAATCCAAGCTCAAAAAATTTAAATTAATTTTCATATTCAAGCTCCTTATAAATCATCAGTAACATGCTAGATATTTCTGTTTCTAATAAATATATATAATTTATACTAAAATATCATATTTTTAAAAAAATTAAATAAAAATATAAATATATTCACAAGTGCAATTTTTTCTTGAAAAAATATATTGAGCCAGCTTATAGAACCGTCGGATTGCTTCGTAGTAAATCTTGAAATCATATCTGGGGTGGTTATTCGAGCCGGGTAGCGCGTGCTCGTTTATTAAACGAGCCAACTCAGCTATTTAGTAAACAACAAATGGTTGCACTGTGTTTTACGTTCATAAAAGTTTGGCTCGGGTTAACACATAAAACAAATGAGGTTAATTAACTGTTCGAACTCGGCTCATTGAAGTAAACGAACGAGCCAAGCATTTCACGAATTACACTTTCACAAATCGAACGAGTTGCACTGTTAAACAACTCAATTTAAATAACTGCTCTAATCATATCTCTTTCCACTCCTTTTACATTCTTATCAAAGTGTTATTTATAGATTCGTTGGATTGTGGGTGCCCACATTATAGGCTAATTCCGCCTAATCAGATTTGTGTCTCATTTTTAGCAAGTCCAAATCACTTTCGGACTATGTTTTACCAGTAAAGGGATAAAAATTAAAAAGCACAAGCTTTAGCTCGAAAATTTAAGATTAATAGGTAAAGCCATAGAAAGACACCGAGCTACCTTAGTCAGCCTATTAGATATCTCATTCAAAGATCTATCTAACTATCTTGCCTTAAACTCTGTGACTGTCTTTTGGACTAATTAATTATCTGGAAAATTATGTTATAAATCCTACTGAACAAAACTTTCGAAACTGAATTATGCCATTCGAAGGAGACCAATATTAAAAGGTGTATATTAAATTGCCATTCGATGGAGACCAAACTGATTATGACATAAATTTTATCGTCACAATTAAATTGCAAAAGAATAAAAGATTGCGATGCCAGCTGGAATTTAACATTTATTTTGTCAATCACTACGATTTTACAGAGCCCAATCCGTTTAAATGCATAAAAATTCAATCAGCCCACTGTGAAAGCTCTATGTTCGGCCCATTCTTCACCCTGGCTCTTTAACCGGACGAGAGCTAAATCTGGGTCATCACGTCGGATCCGGATTCTGATCCAAGACCCATTATCCAAGACAAGTTGATTTCAATTTCAAAGGCCTCGTAGCAACTAGCAACCGCATACAGTAATGGGGCGCTCAATTTTCTCTCAGTTCCTCATGCTCGCCAGCGTTGCTCCTCGCTCCATCTCCACATTGTACTGTTTTCTCTCTCTTACCTTCAAACTTTTTGCTTCAAAATATGTGTAAATACGTCTGAAATCATTTCATATGTTTGATTTGCAATGGAAGCAGGCCATGTGGGGTTCATCTGAGCAAACGCTCGAGCAGCTGTAATGCACCACTTCCCGCGTTTACGAGCTGCTGAAATTTCCGGTGCCTTTGCAGCGTATCGGTTGCCGAGCCTTCGACCTCAGGGACCTCTTTTAGCTCCGTAAAGTAATAATTTCTCGATTTTTCCTCCACGAGTTTGATGTTCCATTGATTGGTGTCTGTATGCATCTGAGGTATATCGGCTTGTGGTTCTATAGTGTTGATTGAATCCTTGAAAACGGAATTTACTTTTCTGGATATTTGAATGTTTCGTATGTTGTAGAGTGTTAATCATTGTTAAAGGTTAATCATTGTTAGAGGTGTGGAGGACTCTTGCTTCCCTGTGCTTGACGTTGTGTGTTTATCTGTCCTTTATAAGGTTGCTAAGTTTCTTGAAGGAATTTTCTGTGAGTTGTGATGGATGGGGTCATAGTTTTCATGTTGTATGGAAATAGACCTTCCGGTTTTAATGGTTTGGCAGCCTGAAAATCGGTGAACAAATGAACTCAACTATTATATGAAAAAGTGGCATTAGACGTCCTATCACTGTTGAAAGTTACCACTCTCAACATTCTGAGAGTTCTCTTAAGAAACTCTTCATGTCCTGAATATGGAATTTACCAAGGACTGTAGTGTACCCTTGGGAATAGATTTAATCCCCAGCTGTTCCCATGTGTTGTAGCATCTCTGAATGCTCAGATGTGATTGATATGAATTATTTTTCAGCACACAAACAAATTAGTGAATTACCACCTCCAAACTAAATGAAGTACTTTCATATTGGCAATAATATGTTTTCATCTTCTTGTGTTGTTTAGGTAAGTTTTATGAAATTAGAATTTACAAATGTTTCATGGTGAACAAGTTTTCATCTCCTATGGCCTCTTTTATTTCATTCTTTTATTTTTAATTATTTAAGGGAGCATGAGTATGTCTCTAATGGAATCAAATTATCGCAATCCTAGTTTGCTGCAAAGTTTTGATACACCCAGACCTAATAATGCTTTATTGTTTTACAGGAAGAGAATAGTTTCAGGTGTCCAGCCCACAGGATCAATACATCTCGGCAATTATCTTGGTGAAGTCTTGTATGGATTATTTATTTATTTATTTGTTATCTTAGTACCTTAGTTATAGCTGTCACTACTTAATAATAATGGACGAGAAAGAGGGGAGTGAACAGATATTTGTGGCCCCTGCTTCATTTTTCTTGTCAGAACTGATAAACAGATTTCTCATATTTCCTTCTAACTGTTAAAGTTCCCTAGTAAGATTATGCAGTGATTATTGTTTCCTTTAATTTAAAATTTTACTTGGGCATGTTATAATTTTACTAAAGTGACAGTAGTTACCAAATATTACATAGGTGTGGTGAGTGTCAGTTCACTTCTTTGGGGTTATAGCATACACACATAATGGATGGAGAACCTACTAAATTCACTTTTCTGAATCTGACACATACCGAGTGTTTACATTTATTTTTACTTTTCAGCTATACGAATGACATTCCTGGTTATAAAGTAAGAATATTCTGTCACATTTTTTATTCTTAAACCACAGTTTGTTTGAGTTATGTCCAACTTAAATATAGTCTGTCAGCTGTTGTTTCACCTCATTTTTTTCCCTCGCAGAATTCATATGAGACACTCTTTTTTATTGTGGACCTCCATGCGGTATGTTCTAATAATCCTTATTCTCCCATTGTTTCGTTGCATATTTTTCTAATTTGTCGACATGGGTATCCACTCATAATTCTCAAGTATCAAACTGCATTGGATATCCAGTTTTTAGAGTTTGATAACTTTGAAAGACAGATTTGACTAGTTTCTCCACGGTAAAAGCTGCAGCAATCTCCAACTTGATTTAGTTATCCATGTTTTAATTCATAATTTATGCATAATTATTTTAGTTCAATGAAAGATTCACATGTGGTGGATTTAGCATCGATTCGCAGAGTAAACCAATGTTCACATGCGTTACTTCTACTAAATCATGGTTGTGTGTTTCATGCAGATAACATTGCCATATGATACACAGCAATTATCTGAAGCGACAAAAGATACTGCGGCTCTTTATGTGGTGTGGATACTTCCAAGGTCTGCTGTTTGATTGTGTTCCTAGATTTTTTTTTTTCTTTGTGTTTGTGGGTATCTGGTTAGTCTCTTTAATATTTCTATATGGGTCATACAGGTCTCAGTTTTTGTGCTGTCTCATGTACGTGCTCATGTAGAGTTGATGTGGCTTCTGAGTTCTGCCACCCCAATCGGTTGGCTCAATAAGATGATACAGTTTAAAGAGAAATCACGGAAGGCTGTAAGTACTATGCGTTATTACCTTTTGTTCTGTTCACCTTCTTATCATTTATCTAAAAATGATATATTGGCATCTGATTTTAAATTCGTACAATTATATTGAGGTAACTTACTGGCTATGGTTGAATCAGTGTTAGTTAAACTGAAACCTTATATTGTTTTTTCGTTATTGTTATTGTTGTTGTTGTTATTATATTTGCGGCAGTCTTCCACATTAAATCCTAGTTCCTAGAAGAATGTTTACCTAATTATTAGAGTTTCATCATTGTTATCTCGCTACTTTCTTTTCTTCCAGGGGGATGAGAACGCTGGGGTTTCTCTTTTAACTTATCCTGTGCTGATGGCGTCACCAAGTAATTTATTCTATCTTTCCTTGTTTTTATATCTTATTTTTATTCCAAAATCTAATGTTTGAAGAACCTTTATGTCATATGCATTTTTTTTTTAATTGAGAACTTAATGTAGGATCCATTGAATTCGTACACTCAATTATAATGAATGAGGAGTGAATCTTCGAATTTCTTTCACCAGGAAGTAATCTCCTACGTCGGTGAATGTATTGACTAAATATAGCTTGTCCTCAATAAGTATAGCATTTCCCTTGCAGTCTGATTTTGTCCCTGTCGGCGAGGATCAGAAGCAACACCTCGAGCTGACTCGAGAACTAGCTGAGCATGTTAACTATCTATATGGAGGAAGGAAGTGGAAGAAGCTGGGAGGGTAAGGGCATTAGAGTTCAAAGTTTATGAGCATTGACATTTTTTTTTGTCTATAAACTAGTTAAACCTTTTGTGCCAAGTTCTTTCCTGTTATTTTTCCTACTGGGGTCAGAAAAACTAAATGACTTGTTCAACCAACTGTTTTCTGCCAAAGACAAGGTGGTGCTATCTTTAAGGTACGTTCCTGTTATTGATTACTTATATGATACTGTTCTAAGGTTCATATCAATTTGATTAACTTACGCTTCAGTATTGTGTTAAATGTAGGTTCCCGAATCCCTTATTCCACCAACTGGTGCTCGTGTGATGTCTCTAACTGATGGTCTTTCCAAGGTTGTCAGAAAATTTGACAGCTGTTCACTCCTTCTATAATAGGCGGATTAGGTGTTATCTTGCTTTTGGGACAAGCAAAAAAGCGATCTCAGAGGAGTACACAAGAATAGTGACACTCATATAATAGACTAATAGGCCACTCTTTCTGGCCCTCCTGGGCTATACGTAGAAAACCATCCCCTAAACCCGCGTGTGTGCTACAACGCTTGGACTTCCCTTCGCCCCAGGTCCTATCGAACCAGCTCTTTCATTCAATTGTCATTGCCTTAACGAACTCATATGTACACTCCTACGCCCCAAAGGAATAATAAGCGTAAAGATTAGAGCTGTCAATAGAAGAAAGCTAGAATCGAAAACCAAGCCCTTGGGGTACAAGTACTATTGATTTGAAGCTTACCAAGGACGACTAAGCCTTCATTCCGAATCCGAAGGCGAAGCTCCCTTTCTACCTTCCAAGGCGGATTAGACTTTCTATGAGGAAAGGCCAAAGCTGTAGAGGCTAGATTCGATATAAGGCAAGACCGTCTTTTGTGTCTTTTATCTATAAGTCATAACGTTTACTTGTGAAGATATCTAAATTATCGAAATAGACCCATTGCTCATCATATTTCTGACCTATACCTGACTTCAATTCCGCATGCAGATGTCTAAATCTGCACCATCTGATCAATCTTGAATTAATTTGCTTGATTCCAAGGATGTGAGTATAATAATTCCTATTCTATTTCTCGCTTCAGTTGTAGTACAACAATGTTTTCCTTTCAATTGGTTTCTTGTAACTGAATTTTTGTAAGCTTGTTTTGTGAGAAGGCCATAACAACTGAAATAGGGGAAAAAGGGTGCTGTCTACTTTTATTTTCAAAGGAAAACACTGGGGTCAATTTTACAAATTGGAAATTAGTTCTCCACCTCGTGTTTTCGTAAATTATTCACCACCTAATTTGCAATAGTCTTCAAGGAATTCAATGACTTCTTTCTACTATTATTATGTTTATGTGATGCTAGTATCAATACTCGATGTGCCTTTTCCTCACCTAGACTTTACTAATTTTGCAGTCAATTTCCAACAAAATAAAACGTTGCAAGACAGACTCATTTTCAGGGTTAGCATCCTTTATTTGCCTGTTATGATACCTTTCTCTTTAAGCTTTTTGTATCTTAATAAAATGATTATTTAGTTATGATAATACATAATGTGCCTAGACTTTTTGGGTAATTAGGTTGTGTTCGAGTTTAATCATCTTGTCTGTCACCATTGTTTTGAAATTATGCAGCTTGGAGTTCGATAATCCTGAAAGACCTGAATGTAACAACCTTCTCTCGATATATCAACTCGTTACTGGCAAGACAAAACAGGTATCTGGGAATTCATTTGTTTATGACTTATGCTTACCTTTTTTCTCTCATATTATGTCCCAGCGTGTTCTGGTACCTCTAGTGTAGCGACTCGGTCCATTTATAGTAATATAGCATTTGAAATTAATAACTCACGGAAGCATTTGAAATAAGATTTGCACGAGTCGCAATACTTCACAAGATTTTTCAAAATTTATTTAAAATACAATCATATAAGAGGAAATAAAAAATACTATTGCCACCCAAAGAAACCCAGTTCATAATCAAATTCTCAAATCACAACTACATAGTTCGAAGGAAATAATTTGTTCTAGATACTACAAGACAAATAATGTTTCCAAACAAAATAAAACGATTACTAGTTTCCCTAACACGTGACCGACTCCGTTAATTTGAAAATATTTTTAGAGAAAAATTCGGTAAGCCAAAATGTTTAGTGGGGCAGTACATGTCACACATAATTATCACATAATCACCAATGAATAAAAATTTTACGTTCGATGATTCTCCAACATGTTTTACGTGCAAATTAACACACGGATTACTTGGCCATATATGATTGTCGACTGTATTGGCGAACTCGAAAGTTCCATGACCCTGAAGGCTACATCTTGATTCTCCACACCCAATTCATGTAGCCTTCGGGTTCGACAATCATATATGGTCGAGTACTCCGTGTGTTAATTTGCACGTAAAACATGTTAGGAGAATCATTCAATGTAAAATTTTATTCATTGGTGATTATGTGATAATTATGTGAGACATGTACTATTCCACCCAGCATTTTGGCTTACTCCATTTTTCTGTAAAAATATTTTCAGATTGACGAAGCCGGTGACTTGTTGGAAGTAGTAGTCGTTTAATTTTGTTTGAAACATTATTTGTCTTTTGGTATCTCAAACATTTATTTCATTCGAACTGTGTAGTTGCAATTTGAGAATTTGACTATGAATCGAGTTTCTTTTGGTGGCAATAGTATTTTTATTTCCTCTTATATGATTGCATTTTAATAAATTTTGAAAAATTTCTATAAGTGTTGGGACTCGTGCAAATCTTATTTCAAATGCTTCCGCGAGTTATTAATTTCAAATGCCATATTACTATAAATGGATCAGGTCGCTACATTTTCCAGAATGTAATGCTTGAGATGAGCCAACGTATGATTACGAATGAATATTCTTTTAATAAATATAATTGGTAAGTGATAAGGAATATTGCAAATTGATTAGTCCTGAACAAAGTATTGAATACTGGGTCAAATATTTCTCTTCCTTTGCTGATTGGATTTTCTTCTCTTCCATTGCTGGTCTACATTATTGGCACTTATTGCAGTGCCATGTGTTAAAATTTAATCTGATAACAAATATTATTTGAAATTTTATTTGTAAGTGTTGTTTGTGTCATCGTACAATTATGTACTGGTGCAGGAGGTCGTGGAAGAATGTCGAGATATGAACTGGGGAACTTTCAAACCCCTGCTTACTGATGCTTTAGTTGATCATCTACATCCAATCCAGGTAACTCTTGCTGATTAATGCCTTTAAAAATCTCATCTAACATCGAATTATTGATCCAGCTAATTTTATTCGTGATTGGCTATTTAGAGCCATCTCTTGTTATATATATCGAACCATATAAGGTGTGAGGACCCATCAGTACGTAGTGTCTATATTCCAGTATGCACGAACTAACGAACTAATATTGATACAGAAAGGAACGAGAAAGAAAAAACAATTTCCTCATGATCCTTATACGCAGCACATATTTTCATCTTTTTTCTTCTCATCAATTTTCTTCTTGTGGATCACGAATCAAGTTTTGATTAGAAATGTTTTTCTTATCCCATTTATGTCTGAATGGGTCTAGCTCACATATTCATTTCTCTACAGTTGCTACTCTGTAAAGCAATATGCCATTTTATTCACGATTAGTTATATAGATCCAGCAACTCTACAGGTTCGCTATGCGGAAATTATGTCAGACCCCACTTATTTGGATGACATTTTGGCCGAGGGTGCCAATAAAGCTACATCCATAGCAGATGTCACTCTCAATAATTTGTACCAGGCAATGGGATTTTTACGGAGATGAGATCAACGAATGAGACTATGAAAAGGTTAGTGCCGAAGCTAATCCGAAACAGCTGAATATTTGGTATTTGGATTTATTATTTCTGGTCATTATTTTTCTTTTCGATGGAAGAGAAGTTAATATGATCAAAGAAAGTTCCTATTTTTTTTATATAAGCTCCTTTTACTATTGCCTCCTTCAAGCTGATGTGCTCCGTTGAGGTGGGCTATTTAAAATTTGTTTTGATATCATGATGGCGCTTAATTGGTTAATGACAGTCATCAAAGTTGACAGATTTAGCTCTTATAGTTATGCCACTCCTAAGGAATTATAATGATTTATGTATAGTTTGCTCCTCTACGGTCATGTTTGCTTTGCCAATTTCTTCTGAATCATTGTTTATTACCACACTCTCTCTCTCTCTCTCTCTCTCTCTCTCTCTCTCTTCCATTTTGCAGAACGGAATCCGAATGCACGTGACTTCAATTCATATAATGAATTATAAAATGCACGTGACTTCAATTCATATAATGAATTTGTGATTATTTCTTTAGGCTATTATTAGTTGGTATTAACAGAAAATAAGGACACATTCGATTATATCATGTGAGTAGTGGTCATTTGAAATTATTATCATTGAATTATACGTAATCCTATACATGTTAATGTGCGTATGTGTCGACTTAATAAAAACATATGTCGTGGGCACCATAAAAAGGAATTATCCAAAATAAAAACTCAATAGAAGTAGCGAATTCTCATGTACATGAGGGTTCCACATTTGATAGTGCAATCATAGTCTCACATGTGTGGATGTGTTGATGCAATGGTAAAAAATAGATGATTGCATTGCAGTTACATATTGGAATCACAAGATGAGGGAACCAACTTTATTACAATATTTTTCTGGCTATTTAAATTTATAAATGACGCATTTGAGTATTCACGTAATTTAACTGAGGCGCCAACTTGTGGACCTTGGATTAAATACGTAACTTATAGCAGTCAATGATAAAAAGCACTATGGCTCACATGAATTATTATAGCAGCACTATGGATCACAAGTATCGTTTCTAGTTCATAATTTTTTGAAGAATTTTGTCTCGAAAATAAAAATGAAAAATAAAATAAATTATTTATACAAAAAGTTAAATAGTTTTATGACTATGAATATAAATGCGAGATAAAAATATAATAATAAGAGTCGGATTAATTTGAAAATAAATATATATTAATTAAGAGTGGTTGACAATTAAAAAATATGAATGAATTGATTTTTTAATGAAAATACATAATATGGTAGGATTGTAGAGAGAAGAGTGAGCTGAATACTAGTTTTTATGAAAATTTTTGTTACATTTACATATATCATAATCAATGAGAAAATATATATATATATATATATATATATTTTTTATGACCAATTTGCCACCCAAAAAAACTGAAAATGTAACATTGGCCTAATGGCACACGATATCATCTATCCAATAAAATAGTTAGAGACTAATGTCTTACACAAGCATATAACGTTACAGCAAAAACTGATTAAAGAAAAGAACAAAACAACAAAATTGGCAGCCACACACAATAATGGGGATATGATCAAAGTGAAAGCACGGGCACCTGAGGTCTTCAATGTTGCTTGAGCCCAGAATCACTTTGATATAATAAATTGGATAAACCTAAGTTTTTTTCAGAAAAAAAGAAAAATAAAAAATAAGGGGCACAAGCACCACCATCACATCACACATTTTTTTGCGAACAACATTAATCCTATGATGCGACAAATTCAATGTACATCTACACCTGCATACGGTGCAACAATCAAGGGACAAAGCTGCTATCCTTGAAGTATTGGTGCTCGAGAGCTTTTCTGGCCGTAATTCTCTTGCTGGGATCTAAGATGAGCATTTTCTGTAATGAGAGTGAAAAGGCAGCAATTGACGACTTGTTTAAAATACGAAATGAGAGAACACAAATACCCGTCTGCATATTGCTCTAATTTGTCGTTAAGAAAACTCAAAAGCCGGCTGTGAGCTAACAGTGCAGAAGGTATATTTTAATTTTAATGGGAGAAGGAGCTTCGGGCAAAACCCGAAGGAGCTCGAAAGCAGTATTTGAAATCAAAATAAAACTTATGTAGTTTAGGACGATTTTTTTTTCTTCGGTGAGCCATCAATGATATTCTTGCAGGTAAAAATCATTGACGTGAACGAGACAAGGAACAGTTAGACGAGAATCAGTCACCAAACTCATCAGCTCACATATACAAGTTCCTTCGGGAGTGCAAATTGTACAAGAGCAAAGATTTATTTATTTATTATTGAAAACGGCTATAGATCATAATTCATTTTCCCATCACATTTTGAAACAAAAAAATAATAATAATAACAAATGAACGTACACTAAGGAGGTCAAGGCCAGCTGGATCAAGATTTGGAACAACGCTTGCCAGGTTCTGTAAAGTAAGATATACCAAATAAAGACTAGATATCATATGCAGTTCACACAAGAAATTGAGAAAATGAAGAATGATAATAACTCATTGCAATCGAACCTTAGGTGGCCATTTTGGAAATGCTGATTTGAAGTCAGGTAGAGATGTCACTCCAGGCCAGGTGTCTTCATTTGGGGTGCCCATCACCCTTCAACACGAAAGTTAAAAAATGAAACAAATATTATACAATCATATGGCATGAACTGAAATTGACATTTGGAAGAAAATGTTGTTAAAAAAGGTCATAGAATAACAGGCTAAAAAGACTTGGATAAAATATTAGAGTACCTTATAAAATCACCACAAAAGCCTAGTAGTTCAAATGACAAGAAAGAAAGTGATATTTACACAACTTTTGCATTGTTCATTCAAATATATCACCTAAAAATTTTGAAGAGTTCGTCTATCTCAGAGTCCCCAGGAAATAACGGTCGTTGGTTTACCATCTCAGCAAATATACAACCAATGGACCACATGTCCACAGGAGTCGAATAGTGCCTTGATCCAAGTAGTATTTCTGGAGCCCTGTACCATAATGTCACGACCTGTAAAAGAGAAGGATGGTTTATGGAAAAGAAGCAAGTACAGATCAACTTGAGAATTCCTAATGTTCAGTAGTGAGGTTTATCATGCATAACAAGATCACAGACAATGGCCAAAAAGAAATATAAGGACAATACGGACAGACGGACTTTTAAGAAGTAAAATACAAAATGGTAATAGACACCTCGTGGGTAAATGTCCTGACAGGTATGCCAAATGCTCGAGCCAATCCAAAGTCTGCAAGCTTCAATGCATTTGTACGTCGATCAATAAGCAAGTTTTGAGGCTTCAAGTCCCGGTGGAGAACACGATGAGAATGGCAATAGGATATACCACGGAGTATTTGATAAAGGAACATCTGAGAAAATGTAGATTTGACTTAATGACAACAATATTGACTTGCAAGATACTGTGTTAGATTTCACCTTTCTCTAAATATTTGGACTTAATTTTTTTTGTACTCTTATAAGAATAGCATCGAAGCCCTCTACCTCAGGTAATATTACTCACACTAAAAAATGTTGCAGCTGGAGTGAAACAGTTGCATAGAAAAAGTATGCAGACTTTTCATTCAAGGTTCAAGAATTACAAATCTCCCTAACAGTAACTCTCATCAGACTACAAACTCAACTAGAATGAAGAATAATATTTCAGATCTTAAAATGGCAGAAATAAGCTTACATACCTTAACCACACGGGTATCCTTTGAGAATTCCGGGCAAGAATCCATGTGTTTTTTCAAGTCCAAGTCAAGATACTCAAATACCAGATATAAACGCTTGTCATTATGCACCACATCCTGTAACCTGTGACCCAAAAGTCAGGAATTAGCTATGCTTGAAAACTGAGCATGGCATATATAACAGTATAACCATCTAATTATGTGTTTTAATCAATCACATGAAATTAAACACGGATAATTAATTGACAATGGCGAGTTTTCAAGCATTAAAAAAGCCTGACTCAAAAATCTCTTATCTGCAATCATATTTCTGACTCCCTTAAGACATGTAATTATCCACATTGTATTACGACGATAAACAAAAGTACCTCACAATATTCCCATGATTCATCTCTTTCAAAAGAGATATCTCTCTAATAGCCGTGCTTGGTACACCTTCATCTTCCTGCTCTAGCCTGATTTTCTTCAAAGCAATGGTTTCATTTGTCACTCGATCACGAGCCTTGTAGACCACTCCATACGTCCCTTCACCAATCTTCTCGACCTTCTCATACTGCATTGATAAATTGTGAAACATCAGATTCCATAAATCATAGCCAACAACAGGATATTTTTAAGACTATTGTCTTTACCTGGTCCATCTAGACAAGAACAGGAACCATCAATCTGTAACACAGTAGAAAAAAAAAGAGACAGAGGCAAAAAGGTAAAAAGGTTAAGCCACACACTCTCGAGTAAGACGAAAAGACGTAAAATGATTAAACAGTTTTACATTTTTTCACTTCGTACATTGAACTTCAAAAGAAGACTAAATAAGAGAAAAATATAATCTAAAACTACTACGCAAAATATGATCCTAAGAATCCAGGCACATTATATATGTATATTAAACATATAAGAGTAAAAGGCAATTGCCCATACTTGAAGCTGACAAAACCGAGGCAACATTTCGTTTAGAAGTGCGGGACAAAAGATTCGGCAGGCAAAATTAAAACAAGCCGATTAATCAACCCTGGAAAACCCAGACCACATGCTTCTACCATTTCGAACCAAACTCATCAACATTAGCTCAGATTACACTCAATGCCCAAAATCTAACCATAAATTAAGCAGTCATTCACTTCTACAGGTCCAATTCAACCAACAAACGGCATTTAATTAGTACAAAAACCAGAAGATCGATTCTCATTTGCTTCGCCATTAAAAAATTCAAAGATAAATAACAAAAAAATGGAAAATAAGAGAAAAATTAACAGACAAACAAGCAGCAATTGATCATTTCAGCAAAATTACCTAAACGCAACCTTTACAGTCGTGATCATCCACTTTCAGCACAAACAAATAACACACAAATCGATCAAACTAACATCAACCAAATAAAAGCAGTCGGAATCAACAGAATAAGAGTGCAAGCATTTGTACTCATGAGAAAAACGCCATGGAAACAAAAGTCAGTAAAGGAGAGCTGAGAATCAATGGCGCATAACGTACCGAGGATAGATAAAATGTGGAGATACTGAAAGACAGTTAACAGAGAGAGGATGGGCTGTCTTCTTTTTTCTGCAAATGAGAGCGAGACTTCATTTAGACATAGGGTTGGGTTATTTTATTTTCCGGTTTTATTTTTCTATTATTCTTAATAACATTATAATTTAATTATTAAAATTTAATCACAATTTTTTCTATTCCTTTTCTTATTTTCGTCTTTTGCATTAAGGGGGTTTTAGTTTTATTTGATCATATAAATATTTTTAAGTGCAAATATATATATATATATATATATATATATATGTAATGCGCTCTACATATTATGGATCGATTTCCTAAATCCTAACCACTAATCTGCAAGCTGGGTTTTTGAACCTTGCAACGCTCAAATCAATTCACAAATAAAAGAAACTTTGAAACCACCAATTGAATTCTTGCTAGCAAATGAGCCTTCGATGCCTGCAAGACGCTCAAGTCAGTTCACATATATCATTAAAGAAACTTTAAATGCATGTTCTTAAAATTGATTATCTCAATCCACATTACATGATACTCTTACTTGCTCGAGCATACTTATATCATTACAAAATTCTAGCTCGAACGCAATACCTTTACAACCGATCTCCTAGCGACCCTTAACCAGGTCTATCGAGTTGTAGACATAATCCATCTTCTGAACTGAATTCTATTCCCAAACAATTTAGTAGATAAATTGATATTTATTGTAAAAACAACTTTACATTGTGTTTTTACAATCTATGATATATATAGAGTATATGAGAATTATTTATATGCACAATCATATGTTCGCAATAAATACTTTTTAAATGACCGTTTCACCATCCACCAACACAATAATAAGAAATTGCCATTTAGATACATTTTCTAAGTTCATAAACTATTCTTATTCAACTTCTACGGCACTGTGAAATAGTTATTCTAGTGTACTTCATGCAAACACATCATTTTATGTATAAATACTTTTAAAGGGCATCATTAAATTCTCCATGATATGAAATACATAACTAATGATTTAAGTGGTCCTCGGCTTGTATAAGACCTTGACTCTTAACCGGCAAAGATTAAGCCTAGTCAAATTTACCCAAATTTCATTTAATTTCACCATCCATTTTATGTGAGATGGTCCTAGCTCTAAATGCACCTTTATCTACTACACACTTATTGCATGGAATGGGCCATAGAACATTTAGAGCAAATAATTGTTAATGCATAATGATCATTGACATTACTTGCTATAAATAGTATGAAAAATTAGTACATAACTTCATGTGATATTGTAATTACATGTGATATTGCTTTATGTTTTTTTTTTTCTTTTTTAATTAATAAACAAGTGAAATATAAATAAGCTTCAATAGTTTGAGACCAGCTGCTAGAAAAATCAGAAGACCTCATCATTTAGACATTAAACTGTACAAAAATAAGTATCTAAATTCGTGGAAATGTCGATGGGCCGAGAGGAAATACTTAGGAGTATGTTTGCCTATGAAATGTCTCAATGCTCACTTAATTCATATTTAAAATTTAACTCAACTTTAACTCAACTCCATCATCTCAATATTATCAATATAATTAAATAATATCAACCAATCATTCTTACACATTACATCCACTTTAATTTATTATCCATCCACTTACATAATTTTAACTATCATTTCATATCATATCTCTCATACTTTTACATCAAATCAACTTTAATTATATAAAATCAAAATTTCACTAATTACTAATCATACTACTTTTTTAAAATTAACTTTGGTTAAAAAAAAAAAAAAACTTACTTTGGACAGATATTTTTGTATATACAAACTGGAAGTTGGACAGTAAAAAATTCTCATATTAAAACGGCCCAACTTCTTTGTTTATTTTTGTCTAATAATATTCCTTTCATTTTCATTAGTTTGCAAGCAAAGGTTACACACTTCATTGGGCGTCCTAATGGCTATTTTTCGCTTTTAGAAGACAAACCATGATATGAATAGTTTAAGAGTTATAATATTTTGGTTACAATATATTAAATTCTTATGCTTCAATAACACACTTAAAGTCTTGTCTTACTCATTGTATTAGCCAAAACCAATCAGCTTTTATTCAAGGGAGGCAATTACTAGATAATGTCATAATAGCCCAAGAAGCCATTCATTTCCTTAATAGACATAGATCTGGCAAAAGATACCATATGGCTGTCAAACTTGATATGGAAAAAGCATTTGATAGGGTGGAATGGAGTTCTATTCAAAAAATTTTAACTAAGCTGGGTTTTCATCCTACTTTTGTTAGATGGGTCATGGCGTGCATTTCTTCTCCCTCCTACTCTTTTAATCTTAATGGTGAACTGATTGGGTTTGTTCAAGCTTCCAGAGGTTTAAGGCAGGGGGATCCTCTTTCCCCCTACCTTTTTATTTTGGTTTCTGAGGTGTTCTCCAGGATTATTAAGGCAGCCGAAGCAGGTGACTCCATCTCAGGATTGAAGATCTCAAGCACTGGCCCCCCATGCTCTCACTTACTCTTTGCAGACGATGCCATGGTATTTTGTTCAGCCACAGTGCAACAGGCTCAGACTCTTATGTCTATTCTTTGTAAATATCAGAGATTCACTGGTCAAAGGGTTAACATGCACAAGTCTTCAGTATTCTTCAGTAAAAATACCCCCACTGTTATCCAAATGGAAGTATGCAATGTTCTTAATGGAATAAGCAGGCACAGCTCCTCCAGATACCTGGGTCTACCTCTTGGCATTGGAAGATCTAAAAAGGAATGCTTTAACTATGTTGTGGAAGCAGTGAGATCCAGGCTTGTCAGTTGGAAGAACAGATTTTTATCAGACGCGGGGAAAGAGGTGCTTCTCAAAGCAGTTATCAATGCTCTTCCTATATTCACTATGTCATGTTTTCTTCTGCCAAAGGGCACTTGTCAGGAGATAACAAAGCTGAGTTCTGGCTTTTGGTGGAGCAAGGGTGATGATCAGAGGGCTGGTTTGCACTGGAAATCTTGGGCATCTATTACTACCCCCAAATGTAATGGCGGCCTAGGATTTCAAGATGTCATCTTATTTAATGAATCTCTGATACTGAAACAAATTTGGAGAATGGCCACTCACCCTAATTTACTGGTCAGCAAAATTCTAAAGGGGAAGTACTACCCAGAAGGCTCTATCATTCAAGCAGCTCACTCAAAACCTGGTAGCCCCTCTTGGATGTGGCAATCTTGGATGAAGGTATTAAAGAAGCACAAACAAGGGTTCAGAAGGGAAATCAGAAGTGGAACATCATCCAGAATATTTTTGGATCCTTGGGTACCCAACTCACAGTCAGGTTTTCCTAAAATTAAAGATGGAGCCAACTGCACTCAAATTGTGGTATCTGAACTTATGGAAGAGGGTGGCTGGAATTGGAACACTATGTTATTACAGGAATTATTTGAGCCTGATGATGTTCAATCTATCCAAACCATTACTAATCTTAACCCTGCTATGAAAGACTGCTGGAAGTGGACCTTCAACACAAAAGGCCTGTTCACAGTGGCTAGTACATACTCCCATCTGATTCAACAAAAACTTAGGAATCTTGATATAGCTGAAGGGAGTACATCTGCTGAAATTCAACAGAGAGTTAGAAAAAGAAGCTGGAGGCTTAACATTAAAAAGAAACTCAGACACTTCATTTGGAAATGCTTCAATAATATCCTTCCAGTTTGCACTAACTTACATGACAGGGGATTGGATGTGAACATAATCTGCCAAGTATGTGGTGAAGAGCCTGAATCCATTGAACATGTATTCTTCTCTTGCAGCAGGGCTAAGTTGGTCTGGAGTATAGCTCCTATCAGCTGGGACGGATTAACAGCAGAGGAATCAAACTTTAGATGCTGGTGGAGTACACTTTGTGAGGTGAGCAAAAAAGATATCTCTGAAGATAGAATCCAGTTGACTACCTATATCTTATGGTGGCTCTGGAAATCGAGAAACCTATGTAAGTTCCAACACACACTCATGCCAGAAAAGGAGGTAATCAAGGCTGCTCACTCAGAATGGATGGAGTTTAACTCAGCAGCAAGGAAGAAGACAGACTGACTTTACAGACATTGTTCCAGGTCTCTATTTGAGTTCAGTGGTTCTATATCTGTTAGGTCAAATATTTCATATTTCTGGCTTTAGATGACTGTTCTCTTTTTAGAGTATGTCTAAGGGTCCAAAATTCTCTTGCCTTAGATGTAATGTATCTGTATTGTGGTTCTGAACATTTGCTGGCAATTTTTAGATATTCTAGATCACCTGAAGTGTGATTCTCATGTAATGAGGTTCCTTAACCTCTCGATGTACTATTTGTTAATTTTGAGCAATGAAGTTTCTGTNTAGCACTTAAATAATTATTTTTTAAAAGTTATAAAATTATTGTTACCCACATTAAACACGCCATTAATTATATTTCTTTAAAATTTATCAAAACGATAAATATGTTTATAATACTTTTTACTATTATGAGTTAATATCTAATATAGTATTTAGTACAACCATATGACCTATTATTTGTTTGCAGCTTATATTGCTATTTATTCAATATTATGAAATAATGTTTACTATTTTAATAGAAATGGCCTTAATGGAAAAATAGTCCATATAAATTATGTTTGTGCTAAGTTAAGAAAGTTTTTGTTCAAATATAAAAATGTTATAAAAAATAATCTATGAAAGTATACAAATTAAATACTATTTAAATTGCTAATCTCAACACTATTTACTAATATAAGCATAAAAATTAAAATCTACAATTGTTTTCTTGATGCACAAATTTTTATATGAGATTAAACTAATCGCTAGGCAGACAGACCTATTATTATATGTGAACAAAGTTGCATATATATATGTAAGTCGTAGCTATCAAATGTCACATTTTCGTTTATGTTATCTTCTTAATGATGAGATATTTTATTTAAAACCATAAATATTTGTTGAAGAAGTATACCAACTTTAATAATTGGGTCGATCTAATAATATACGTACGTTATATCACTTATATATATAATTATAGATAAAGAATTTAATGTAAAAAATAATTTTTTCTGGCTGATCACATTCATTTTTCAGTTATTTTTAGTAAGAAATTAAGCTTACATTTTCATTGATCAATTAATTATGTTTTTATTTATTTTATTACATAATAACTACTACTAACTAATCATAAACTCACACTACATGATATATGGAACTATATACCTATAAAAATTCTATTATAATTTTCACTGTTTATTCAAAATTACTATTATCTGTTTTAAAGCTCATTGCGAATTTTTTAGTAAAATTGGTTATTAATTGTCTTTTATGGCATAACGAAAACCAAATTTCGTACACAACTGATATAATGATAATTTTAATATTTGCATCTAATTAATAAGTCATAATCAGTGCTCAAGATTACAAAAATTACACTATTCCAAGCAATATAATGATTCATATGTATGTTAATTAACTTATATTTATATTGTAATTTCTAAAATGATATGCTCATTGTCTAATTATAATTTTTAATATTATATACCCACACATATAACTTATAAAGTTTTGTTTGCATCTGTACATGTGCATAGGATCAAGTACTACAGAAATTCTATGGAGCCATCGGATGGTTTTCTTATGGAGCCATCCACCACTTAATATATTGACACCTGT